CCGTTTATTTATATTTAAGGTTCGAAGCCGGCTAAAGGTAGAGACGAGACGATGAGGTGAGATCGGAACCACAGTTCAGTCTGGACGATAAAGGTCATTTGGTAGGCATGCTACAGCAAATTTCATTGCGATATCAGGGCTGCTGATTAGTTCTCTTCTCTCTCTCTACAATAAGTGACATGTAGTTCTGACAATATGTTTTTTCCATAGAAAAGTCCCCAGCCAAGATAGGAGGATACAGCCCTCAATTTTCCAGAAAAACTCAATGTTATTGTTCACATCTCAGAGCTTTATTTATATTGAGTAGGTCCCGCAAGTAGGTCATATAAGATGATAAAGGACGGATGGGTGAATTTTCACAAACTGACATGACTAAACTTAAAGATGTCAGTAAATCTAATCTGGACTTGCTTCCGAAAGGGTAAACCTCGAAAACCGACTCCTATGATTAAAAGTAGGGCCTCGGTAACAATCCCAACATAGGGTGTGATATCATAGATTATATGAGAGAGGCTTCGTCTTCCTTAAAATTCACGTCTGACTGTGATTGTAGATTTGAGCGAATAGGTCCTCGGTGCATCGCTCTGCGATCCTGATGAATCCCTGTCGAGCTTTCCTCCGTCATGTGACGGACATTGTCAGAGCAATGCCTCACCAAAACACAAAGACCAGAAAGGTGGTTGGCTTCAATTCTACATACTTCTTGCAGTCCCATGACGTTCCCTTAATGAGGTGTTTCATGGTTGGCGTACTATGTTTTCGCATAACTTTTCCGCCCACATTTAGCCAAATCGTAGGATGTCCAACCAAATTATGAGATGTCCCATTAAGTGGGACATCGCAAATTGGACTCTAATAAGTAGGCAGATTTGAAGCCAGCCACCTTTTTGGTATTCGCGTTTCGGTGAATTATCGTTATAGATACGAGAAGTAAATGGGTTTCGATAATATTGTTGGGGAGATTTTCATTCCGTATAAGATATCAGCCTGTTTTGATCACTCTGACTTAGGACCAGTATTGCGCATGGACGTTAACACACACACACACACACACACACACATACATATATATATATATATATCTACATATATATATAGGTACAAGAGAGCTGGATAGTCTTCTTAATCGAGTGTTAAAGGGAGACTTTTACAAGAATGAGTTACAGCTCTGATGATGTCCAGCATAGGATGGACAAAAGCTCAACTCGTTTTCACACAAAACTATGGTGTGTCAACCTTAACGTCGTATTGAGTCCAAACGGCTGCAGCACAACGGGGATCAGAAATTGTCTTCCGGTGAGATCCATTTTTCATATCTTCTTCATACACTTTCATACAAAATTATCAAAAGCATGGTGTCCTGCTCTGATAATGTACGCCACATAGTTGACGAAAACTCACTAATGATTCATGCGTGTCACATGGCAATACTCCAAGGACCTATTTGGAAAAATCTATTATTATAGCTTCAAGGCCATCCACTACAGTCTCCCGGGAGGCCAAGTTACGAATCCCTTCTATTCACTTCTTCCAACAAAATGGAAGGTATATGAGTTGTATTCATCCTATTTCCTCTAAAGTGATGAAGGACTGGTATGTGATTTTCTCCCCAATGATATGAGTAGAACTGACGTTTCCAGTGAATTTCACATGTCCTTGCTTTCCCAAAAGGTGTTGGCATCTGGACAGAATTGGACTGCAATTTCGACCTCTCATAGGTTTTATCAACACTCCAAGCGGGAGTCAAACCATGACAATGCAGCGTGTAATCTTGTCACGAGTGTCCTTTGGTCACAGGGCAGATGTGAATTTTCAGGAATGTCAGGCATTTTCCATATCACATTCCGTGTTGGGATTGCCAATGGAGCTACTCATATTTTTATCAAAAAAATCGTTGACATTACTTTTGTCGTAAGTGAGTAGTAGGTTTTCGAGACTACCGGTAAATCAGATCTATGAGTTATATTCATCCCATTCTGTTTTAGTCTCGAAAACCTACTCACGACAAAGATGGAAGGTACTGCAACGCAAATATATTAAGGGATTCTTCGAAACCCACTGGCGTAGTGTTGCAATGTCGAAATTATACGCTGCTGGTGCTCCATTCTAAATGGGTGAAATGAAAATGGTATCTCGAGGCCTATTTGGAGTATTGTGGGCAAATTCAGCTATCAGTTCCTTCAAGGTCATTTTTATTTTATTTTGTTTTTTTAACTAAACTTCCGCACAATACACACCAGATTGCCTTTAGCATGGATTCCTCTGGCTCAGTTGTCTGTCAAGGTTGCCAAAGCTTTAGGCGATGAGCTCGCTGATAATGTATCAGGTAGCCATCGGTCGAAAGAGAGGCTAATTTATCACTGTCATCAATCGGGACAATACAGTTCAAATACGGCTTACTTCTGAAATGGTCAGATAATATCTAATCACAGTTCGTTGGTGAGGCAGCAAGTTTAGCTGGGCTTTTTTGGGCGACTGGAGGAGATACAATCCACCAATTGGTGGAATTGGGAAAATTCAAGAAAATCGCCCACCTCATTCTCCACTTGAGGTGTGACTGGTGCAAGAGATCGCCTGAGGGGGGATGAGCACCGGCATCGAGTGTGAAGGTAGAAGCGAAGGTTGCGCCAGAACTTTGGCGCTCGTGACTGACATGATCGCATGCAGTACGAAGTTGCCGTGACAAATCCGTAGGCCGTTTGGAGGAGAAGAAAAGAGCCAGACACACTAAGTTTGCCCACCGGCGCATAGCCACTCCATATATACACACACACACACACACACATGCAGCAGCCCACTACCAGGTCGTGCTCATCAACGGCTGGCACATGCAGTCATCATCGTTGTCGGCGCAGAGGTCGACTTGTCTACATGATTTGTTGACGAGACCGGCTTGCTTGGGCAAATTAACCGACAAAATGGGAAAAGACTGGCTATGGCCGGTCCGGGTTGGGCCATGAGAATCTGGCGCGGAGAGTGTTAAGTGGTGGGGCGGACGAGATGGGGTGAGGTGTGAGGTGAGGTGAGGTGAGGTGAGGTGTGGCGGCTTAGTCAAGAGGACTCGAACTGGGAAACGAAGAGGTGAGAGGAAGTGGAGGTGAGAGATGCGGCGAAGCAAAGCGATTGGAGCGGAGTGAAGTGAAGTGAAGTGGAGCCGAGTGGAATGTATGAAGGCGTCCAGAATGGGTGGAGCCACATGAATGGGCAGTGGGTGTTGTGATAATTTGCCTATTAAATCAGCAGCCACCCCGAGGATTCGAGTTAAGACGGGCTAAATCCCACATCGCATTGGCATGCGGCTCATCCCACTGCCAGAAGCACGTGGCCTGGTACACATGGCCGTCTCGCCTCAACTTGTATGCCCTCATTCTACACTTATATGCATACACATATGCCATATTTATGTGTGAATTTGTGAATAAAAAGTGAGCAAGAGTGAGAAAAGAGATTATCCAGCTTTCGACCCAGCTTCTTTGCGCCTAAGTTTCATTTAAATTAGCCTCATTTCATGCTTTATTCTACTTCCTATCCATTTTCATTCTTCTCTTTCACTTGCTCAGTTTCGCTCTAGCTCCTTCTCTCTACCTCACACACGAGCCCACACAAACACACACACACACACACACACACACACATTTGAAGAGACAGATTTCAGCCCTACCTGATTGCATACCGGTTGTTACGTCTTCGTATCGCCCCAAAGAAAGGGGAGGAGACGAGGGACACGTTTTCAGAGAGGAAGCTGTCAGTGATGGTTGGGAAACGAGCAAAGCGTATTTACTTCTCCAGTTTGGCCGACCTGGCTATCCCTACAGCGTTTTGCCCCGTCGCCAGTTCTCATTCAGGTAGAGATAGGCAAACACGTCAGGATGCATGGGAAAAGTGCCTGATCAGCAGATCTAGAGTTGGGGAAATAGAACCTATGAAAGCCAGCTTTCGCATCTGTAGATGCGTTTGTCTTAATTTCGAGGCAAACTGGGCGGAATACCGTTTGCTCTCATATGCCCCGATTGAGGAGGTGTGAGAGAACAAAGTGTGTTCTTGTGTGGAGAGAAGAGGGCGAAAGAGGGGACTGAAATGGGCATCAGCCAATCGAGTTAGGTGTGCGTGGCTAAAGTGGATTACTTAACTTGAAAACAGCTAAAATCTGTCATTTAAAAGCTCGACTGGCTTAACGTCGGGACGAGAAAGAAAGCCGCCAGAGTGGAAGAGAGCGACTCGTCGTCTTGGAGCCGTCATGGCCGCCCATGCGTCTCTTTCTGGCCTTTGGCACCGCCCACTTGCCGGAGTGGAAAGTGTGAATTTATTCAGAGGCATCTGTCTGAAATGGTGCATGGCCGATATGTGGCCGGAGGTGACAGAGGGGAGAGTGGAGATGTTTGCGCTGGCCCATGTTGTAGCCGTCGGTGTGATGTTTTTGTATGGCGAAGAAGCAAAAACGGGACGCAAACTATGCTGGCAACCGTGGTTGCCGAGTCAGTGGCTCTGGTGGTGTAGATTTCAGTTTTGTAGACTCCAGGGGATGTGAATGAGGTCGTTGTTGAAGTTGAGCTGGTAGTAAAGGTTGACGTAGTAGCGGTTGTTATGGCTGTATTACTCGAGAATACTGCGAATGTGGTGTTTAGGGTAGGTGTGATAGTTGTGATGGTTGCTTCGGTGCCAGTAAAGGTTGTGTTGCATCGCGTCATTTTGGCTTTTGTGCCAAAAGTGATTGTTGCAATTGTTGTTGGGCTGGTTAGGATCTGTGTGAAGCTTGTAGAGTTTGTGCTGTCTTGGGTGGTCGGGATTTTGGGGTGGGTATGGCGGTTATAGTGAATATAGGATTTATGGCGTCTATGGGGCTGTTATGCTAGTGGGCTTTGTTGTGATTTTGGAGATAGAGTTGGTTGTTACTGTTAGTGGTTGTGAATGCTGTATTGGCTTTTGGTATGTGGTGTTTATTATCATTATGGCAGTTTTGGAGTTGTGGTTTTTGTACTGGTTGTATTGTTTGTAGTGTTAATGCTGATTCTGATATTAATTGATGGTGTATATTGGTTGCGGTTCTGTGGGGTTTATGGTGGTTGCCTTATTTCTGAAGCCTATTCTGGCTTTGGAGGAAAACACCAATTGCATTGTAGATAAATCGGTTTTAGAATAATTCCTTAAGAGATAAGTGTTGGAATACCTTTCATTTCGTTTGCTGAGGCGAGTTTGAAGGGATTCGTAGGTTGGCCTCACTTGGAGCTATTCGCATACATCTACATTCATAGCTCCAAGCAATCCCCTTAGAGCTTCCGGTGAGACCAACACACAAATCGCTTTGTACTCCAATAGCAACCATTTATTGTGCTCGTGGAATTATTGGAGCTTATGATGAATGTGGTTGGGATAGATGTTGTGATTCTTTTGGTGGTTGTGAATGTTGTATTGGCTTTGGTTTGTTGTGTTTATTGTCATTATGGCAGTTTTGGAGTTGTGATTTTTGTACTGGATGTGTTGTTAATTGATGGTGTATTGGTTGCGGTTCTGTGGGGTTTATGGTGGTTGCTTTATTTCTGAAGCTTATTCTGGTCGTGGGCGTTATGACACTTGCAGTGCTTGTGCTGTAAGGCATGCTTATGGGGGCTTTGATGATTGGGTTGTTTGCGGGTTTTGTGGTTGTCGGGATGTTTGGAGTTGTTTTAGTCTTTGTGTCGTTGATCTGGATTTGTTGTTGGATGTGCTGATTGCGATGTTGTGATAATTTTGATGTTAGCAGTGGTTACAGTGTTTATGGCGCTTATGGTTGTAATAATATTTTTTTATTCAAAGCAATAGTTTTCTTTTTATGCGTGACGGTGTCAGTGATTTTTTAAGTGTCGCATTTACATTAGGTTGCCTAACGACAAATGCCGAGAGTGTCCGGGCTGCTAAATGGACCAATGGCGCCAAACAGGAGAAGCGCTACCGTTGGACAGGTGTATTTTGGTATTGTTAGCTAGAAACTATAAAACTATTTTTATCACATAGGGCTCTTTAAAGAATCACAAAGGTATGTAGAAAGGAAGTGTGCCATTATGGAGCAAGGAAGAGAATGGATGTGGACTGCATAGATGCTTGGGTATGTCTGTGCCTTTGTGTGTATGGCAGGCTTGGCATAGATACTTGAATACGAAATTGTGTCGCCTCGATACGGAAGTGAGACAATGGCGGATGAGTCTGTTCCTAAATAAAGCAGTCTACGAGTCCATTCGTCAGATGTTGCAGACTGCTGCATTCTGCCGCTACAGGTTGTCTCATCAAGCTCTGCCTTACCCGATTGGTGTTCTCAGCTCTTCTCAGAACCATCTACCAAGGCCTGTGTCTTCGCTTTTGTCGTTCTACGTGAATTCGTCAATATTATTTCTTCCTGTTTCAGTTGCTCTTTTTTGTTGTCATGCCCATTATCCGTGCTTTAGTATATCTTTAATTACAAAGTTGCATACAGTAATGCATATATGCATACATACATGAACTTTAATATGTACGTAAGTACTTATTTATGGCCGTATGGATGCATGTATACATGCCTGCATCTATGACTGTACTTATGCAGGTTCTCCTGTATCTCTGTAGTTGCCTCTGTATGTATGTATGGCATTTTTCTATCAAAGCGTTCAGCAAAATTTCTTTCCGTTTGACAAAGAGCGAAAGCATCAAGAGATTTTTATCGAAAGCCATTCGTTAAGTGATGAAGCAAACGGTAGTCTAGCAGATAAAAATGGGTATGAATGAACTCGTGAGCTGACGGCAACTTTGCACTGTCCTACAACATTTTCCAGGTACGAAGGCTAATATGCTGTGGCCTCGGTGTTGGTCACAGTCTCGTTTTCGCAACATGATCGTGTTGTCAAGGCGATCTTTTTAACGAACCCTGTCTGAAGTCCTCTGCTATACTAGTTAAGATAATTTTTAGTCGGACCGTCGACTTGGTACATTCCCAGAAGTTTCGCCGGCATCGTGGGCGACATGTTTAGAGAGTTTTGCCATTTTTAGCACTAAACCACAACTCGTCAAGTAGACAAATGGAGTCGATCTCTTAAAAGACTTTCTGTCGACCGGTTGTTCCTTCTCTCTTAGCTCATCTAACCACTCCCTACCATCTTATCTCACTCCCCCACTGGCCCAACTCTGATTTGTTTATATTCCACTCCTCAGGAAATGTGCCATTTTTGGTGAGTTTAGTGGGACTTTATCACACCCACTTGGCTCATTTGCCTTCCTCCCCCCTCAATTTGCTGGAATTGCCGATCCGGTTTGTACCTCCTGCCCGAATCTCATTCAGGGCTTTGGAAATCCGTTGACTGATTTCGCCCAAATCCCGTTGCATTATACGTTGTTACTATGATCCCGTATGGTAGCTCGTATCCTGTGGCCCCACTTAGCAGAGCGCTTAACCTCCGATTCCTATGCTTATAGATGTCCAATATTATCTTCACGACCCAGATCTACGATTCAACTCATGTACTATGAGCAAGATGTGAACATTTATCTCCAAACTCCTGCCGCATCTCGAATGGAGTTCTGGGGGATCTGCCAACCATAAGGCCGAATTCCTGTGAAGGACGTGACTATTTCACCAAAAGTTGGTATTGTTTCCTCGGGCAAACTATTGAGCTAAAAGTAAGTAATGTCGTCGATTCTCATAACAAATATAATTTTGCTTGATCGACTCCCACCGAAGAATATGAAATGGAATAATGCTTGGACTTCGTTGAAATTCACATCTGCCCTGTGACCAAAGAGCACTCGTAACAATGTGGTCGAGATTACCCGTTGCATTGTCATGGTTCGACTCCCGCTGGGGGTGTTGGTAGGACCTAGGCGGTGTCAAAACTGAAGTCCATTGCTTCCAGGAAGAGAATGCCTTTTGGGAAAGCAGGGCTATGTGAAATGTTTTGGAAAGCATCATGACTACTTATATCATTGTGGGAAATTCAACTACCAGTCCTTGATTACCTTAAACGAAATATGGTGAATACATCTCATACACTTACTGAAAACGTCTTCTCTTAATTCACAAGATCTCTCATCCGCTTCTTCCTTGCGATGCCATTTCTTTTGTTTAAAGATAGGTCCCTGATCCTTTTTCTCATCCGACTGTATTCCTATATCTCCCGAAGTTACGTAAGCAATAGGCAAATTTTCCGTTAGCTCTGCCGTCTTCCGGCTTCCTGTTCACTATATTTCTTTCAGCAAGGATGTCGATGCAATTTTAGAGCTTTGGTAACACTGCAGTTTCGTCCGAGCATAAATCTCGCCTGCGGTATCAAAATGGCATAATCCACTACTTACGCTACGAAGAAGATTGAGAGTGAGCTACGTTAAGCATAACTGGATCCTCCATATCACAACTCATTGTGGCTACCCAGTTTAGAAAAGACGATAAGCGAACTATTAAAATAAGTTTTCTCTTTTGTCTTTGATAGAGAGACCTATATTGAGAATTATGCGGGTCGTCATTATATCATGAATCTGTTGTTCCTAATCGAAGGTATGCAGACCAAGATGGTGTGGTCTTTTGTGTGGCTGCAGTCTCCTTTCGTTGTATACAAGTTGTTTGACCATGTTGTTCTTAAGTTGACGAGTTAATTTGTACTCGGGCGTATCGTAGTTATTAGTTTCGTTGAGAGTCAGGTCAAATTCAAGGTCAACTTGAGATAGGAGAGCAGGGTCGGCCAGAGGGGTTGGTGAGCATTCCTACCCCGTTTTTCACCCAAAACGCCTTTCTTAAAAGCCTTTTCTAAAACTGTTTCCATCTGTGAGTGATCATGACATGAGTTTATATTTCGAAGGAAAAGTTGGTTGTAAGGACTTGGTGAAACGATATTCCTGGACTCCGAGAGAGGCTTTTAGCGGAGTAAAAAAACTGCTGGAATGTGCGTGGAAGTCCTCGGCCCAACTTCCTGTACTGTGACGAGCATCATCAAAGCAGGAATTCATACTTTAGGAAAAAGCTAATCAATACACTATGCGATAAAATAAGGTGGTTTAGCATATTGGTGCGCTATTTCGTAAATGATGGTTCCTAGCTTTGATCATGTCTTTCACGGAAGAGACGGAAGCCTAACAAAGGTTCATCGGGGTCGAAGGAGTGTGAGCCGAGGACTTCGTCGCATAATCCAATAGGCTTCACCCAACGGCAATCCTCCTTCGGCTTCCAGTGATACCATTTCACGAATTCCCTCCAATCAACTTTTGTTTCGAAATGGAAGGTCATGTTTGTTGAGCTTACTTCCATTTCGAGTGAAAGTGTTGGGTGAAGAGATTCGAAGGTCGGTTTCCGAGGTAATTTCCTTCGATTCCGGTGAAAAGGTGCTAAGCTTTCGTCCGTCATATGACGGACGAAAGTTTAGCATCTTTTCACCGAAATCGAAGGAGATTGCTTCGGAAACCGCATCAGCATGAATGTTCCAGTAAAGCCAATCGACAGCTGGTCAAGAGAAATCCGCCGTCGTCTTCTGGTGGAACCGATTCTTGAATCTCTTCAACCAATACTTTAACTCGAAATGGAAGTAAGCTCAACAATTATGAAACAAGAGATTCCTCGAAACCCAACTTTTCTTCACATGAATTTCACAGCCTAACTTTCCTTTATTATTGTTTTAATATATTCTTCTAGCTGCTGACCGTCCACCAAAAACACTCTCAAATATGTCCCCGGCTTAGAACTTGTCAGTACGACG